GAGCCCAGTGAGGACTTTCCAGGCTGAGAAAACTCCCAAATTCCATTTGGATTCCTTTGGATCAGGACTTTGGATCACAGCTTCTCTGGGAAATGCATTCCAGGGCCTCTGCACCCTCCCAGCCAGGAATTCCTTCCCAATATCCCATCTCAACTTGGAATTGGTGGAAAAGAGCAGCCAAGAAGGATGACATTTATAGGAAACACAGAAAGGAGAAACTTCCCATTTTTCATGGCAAGAGGGAATCCTGTGGGGTCCCACAGCTCTTCCAGCAGAACGAGGGGGGTGTGCTGGGATTTTTTGTTTTACCTTTTTTTCTTGGACAGCTTTTCCTTGCTGTGGGAATGGCGCTGGGAAGGATCCACTCAGCTTTTCCCGTGTGTGATCACCAACCAAATCCCCCTCAAATGTCACGAACAGAATCAATGCTAAACTGATATTATTTTAATGGATGAAATCCCCAGAGGCAGCTTTCAGGAGGAGCTGGAATGAATGTTCCTGCAGGAAAGAAGGAGGTGACATTTCATAATTATGGGATGTCTCCTGAACCATGAGATTTTTCACTTAAAGGAAGAAGAATATTTGTTATTTCCCTTGATTGGTTTGATCTCCTCTTAAAGCTTTTTCCTTGGAGATAACATCACCCAGGGGGGCGTTTCTCCTTTCCTGTTCCTTCCCGAATTTAATGGATTCAGGAGAGTGGCACAGCCACTGAAATGAAGGACACTTCAGATGTGATTTGGAGTTAGATGAATATAACATGAATAAAAATGGAATATTAATGAAATCTGGATTTAAAAGGATGTTGGAGTAATGTTGCTGACTGCTCTAATTTGATCCCAGGTTTGATGAGCCGTGCTGAACCCTCCTTTACCTTTCTGCTCCGTGCCTCTGCTTCAGCATTCCTGTATTTTGGAGTTTGTGGTGTGGGACGTGATGGAAGTGCCAGTGGTGACTCAGAGCCCTGGAAATGGCAGAACAAAAAAGCACATTCCATGTCCTTGGGATGTTGAAATCCTGAGGAGTGTGGAGGAACCGGCATTCCTAGGAATTCCAGGGGAAAATCAGCACAATGAGTGTTAGTGCTGCTCGGAAAAATAATCACAATCAGGAATTAATGGATTCTTTCCAGGTCAGAGTGTGACACGTGACCCTGATTCCTAACCAAGGACATTCCTGTCCTTCCAGGAATTTCATGGGAAGAGCCACCTGCATCTATGGAAAAATTGGAATTATAGGATCCCACAAAGGTTTGGATTGGAATCCAAAACCTTTAAGATCCAAACTGGGTCTTAAACCCAGTCCCACCCCTGCCATGGGACATCTTCCACTACCCCAGATTGTTCCAAGCAACTTTATTCCATCATTGCATTGGATTTGGAATTGGGAGCATTTTTGGCTCATAAAACCACCTGGAGCAGGGGTGTTGTTGGTCTCTGTTAAAATTTGTGGAAAAGTGGACAGTGAAAGTTTTTGGGGCTTTGGAAGTCGGGATGGAAGAGCAGAGCTTGCTGGAATGATGGCTTCAAATTGGATCTGGGTCTGGGATACTGGGAATTCCTGGCTGGGAGGGTGGAGAGACCCTGGAATAGAATTCCCAGATTTGCTGTGGCTGCCCCTGGATCCCCAGAAGTGTCCAAGGCCAGGCTGGGATGGGGCTTGGAGCAGCCTGGGACAGTGGAATGCTGGGTTGGAACGAGATGGGATTTCAGGTCCTTCCAACCCAAACCATTCCATGTTTCTATGGAGGGAAATTCCATTCCCTGCTCCTCTTCTGCCTCCTTGGCTGAAGCCTCGTTTTCTGCAGGCTGTGCAGAGCCAGGCTCAGAAACTGGAATTCTTGGCAGGTTTGGATCAATCCCAGACCTTCAGATCAGGATCCCACCCTGGATTGGACTGGGAATGCCGTGGTGAGGGGGGGTCTGAAGGGATGCCAGAGCTCTGCATCCCGGGAATTCCATGTGGATTTTAGCAGGGGAATTGCAGAAGGATCAGAGAAGCAGGATTGGTGAGAAGTGCAGCACGGACACCTGGCAGAGCAGCCTTGGGGAGAAGTTCTGAGGCTCTTCCATAGGGAATGGGGCTGGGAGCTCAATGGATAAACAGAAAAGATGGAATTCCAGGTGTTTAAATCCCACCGAATTCCATTTTATCCTTTGTGCTCTTTAGTTCCTGTGATTTTATTCGGGTCTGTAAATCAGTTTCCTTCTCCCATCGATCCCCTCCTGGAAATTGTCATAGCTGTGAATTTCACGGTTCAGAAGCGAAATCGTGGAGCCAGGAATGTGCTTTGGAGACTCGTGGAAGCAGAGCTGGGATTTATGCAGGTGTAATAACAGGAATATCGTGGTTTCCTTACACTTGCAACGTGTAAAGCTGAGTAATTCCTGTACTACAGGTTGTACCTACAAGGAAATTAAAGAAAGGTTCTGCCTGAACTGAACTCCTGCTCCAAATCCTGATCCCGCTGACAGCAACAGGATTTGGAAAGGACGCAGCAGCATCAGTGCCACTGTTTCTCCTGCTTAATTTCCCTGCTTTAATTAAGCTTTTTCATTTGCATAACGAGTGTGATAATGCATTTAGGGAGATATAGAATAAAAACAATAATGCCGAGTTCATTTTGGAAGCGGAAACAAAAAAAATTCGAAATGCAAGCAGGGGGTGCTGAAGGTTTCGTTCAGGGGATTGCCAGGGATTAATAAAAACCATGGAAATCTCTTGTGGAAACAAGAGGAAACAAAGAGTATCTGAGTGGGGGAGATTCTCAGCGCTGGCTCCAGGGCTGGGGTGGCCTGGGATGGGTCTGGATTTGGGAATGTCAAGGTCACATTTGATTTCCTGAAGAGCAAGACTCAGTCCTTGCAGTTTTTCCAGCTCAGATCATCCCATAATTTGGTGATCCACATGATTCTCATCCCATTTCTCTGCTGGCCCTGCAGCACTCCCAGCTCATGGCCAGTCCCAGGGGTGGAGTGCTCTGGGATGGGCTGGGTTGGTTGGATCATGGAATTAAAAACGCCAAGGTCACTTTGATTCCCTTAAGAACTGGACTCGATCCTTGTGGTTTTTCCAGCTCAGAACATCCTGTAATTTGGTGATCCCTGTGATTCTCATCCCATTTGTCTCCTGCCTTGCAGCCTCCCCATTCAAGGCCAGCAGTGGGGCTGTTTGGGGTGGGCTTGGTTGGTTGGATCATGGAGCTGAGAACACCAAGGTCGCGTTTGATTCCCTTGAAGAGCTGGACTTGATCCTTGTGGTTTTTTTCCCAACCCAGAACATCCCATAATCCCATGATCCACGTGATTCTGATCCCATTTCTCTGCTGGCCTTGCAGCCC